GCAGATCCTCATGAAGACATGTTTCTCCTGAGTCAGAGACAAAAGTGTGGAAGTCAGTGGAGGCCAGTCGCCCACTCTTCTATGATACATAACTCTGTATGATACCTAAGTCACGGCATCTTCTTAACATGTAATAAACATGTGATCGTTCCATCAAAATGCTGATCTGAAAGTGCAGTGTTGTGTCTGCAGGTCTGGCTCAGTCCGGAGCCTGGGGCTGCTTTGATGAGTTTAACCGCATCGAGCTGCCGGTGCTTTCTGTTGCCGCCCAGCAGATCTACATCGTGCTGCAGTGTAAGAAGAACAAGAAGAAGCAGTTCGTCTTCACCGACGGAGACGTGGTCGACATGGATCCCGAGTTCGGCATCTTCCTCACCATGGTACCTCTGATCTAATGAACACTCTGGTGTTAGTATAAGTCAACGATAAATCATCAGAGTCACTCTGCATATGAAACAATGCACTGTTCAGTATTCAGTGTTCTTTAGGTGAGCAGTTGTGGATACATGAAGGCAGCTCAGTAACTACAGTGAGCCACAGGTCCAGCACTGAGCGTGCTGATGTTCCTCCGCTCAGAAAGTTCTAGTAACTTCTCGGTTTTCCAGAATCCCGGTTACGCCGGCCGTCAGGAGCTGCCGGAAAACCTGAAGATTCAGTTCCGCACGGTAGCCATGATGGTCCCGGACCGAGCCATCATCATGAGGGTTAAATTGGCCAGTGCTGGTTTCCGTGACAACCAGGTCCTAAGCAGGAAGTTCTACACCCTCTACAAACTGTGTGAGGAGCAGCTGTCCAAACAGGTGGGTGATCCTGCAGCTGTAAGCACCACACATCCTGTCCTTCTTGGTGTTAGATGATGGATTTTCTCATTTCTCCGTTGCCTTTCTTTGTAAACTGTTACTCATGCATTTAGTTATATTATTATTTATACTTCTCTGGTCTTTCTTACCAGGTCCATTATGATTTCGGTCTGAGGAACATTTTGTCGGTTTTGAGGACGTTGGGAGCTGTGAAGCGATCTAACCCGTCAGAACCAGAGAAGACCGTGGTGATGAGGGTCCTGAGGGACATGAACCTCTCCAAACTGGTGTGTGTGTTAGTAATCAATGCAGAAATTAGACTTTATGTTTAAAGTTTTCATTTCATTATTATCAGACTGTTAGAGTTGCCCACTAGGGGGAGCCCTTGTCCTTGCCACAGTCAGCCATCCTGATTGCTTGTGTGACTTTCTGCAGGTGGACGAGGACGAGCCTCTGTTTATGAGTCTGATCAATGACCTGTTTCCTGGCATTGGTACGTTTCTTTCACATAACACTGAAACACACTAGCAGAGGCTTCATGAGTACACGACGGCTCTCATACTGTGTGCTTTTCTTTCATCCCCCTCTGCAGTTTTGGATAAAGCCGGTTATCCAGACTTGGAGTCGGCCATCTTTAATCAGGCTCAGCAGGCCGGTCTGATCCCTCACCCGCCCTGGATCCTCAAACTGGTCCAGCTCTATGAGACGCAGAGAGTCCGACATGGTGAAGATCCCGACAGACAGACACAATTATCTGGACGCAGTGACACATTAATTAGTCTTTCTCGTCTCGCCACTCAGCTTCATTTACAGTTCCAGTGTAAATTAGTGGAAAGCAGGCTCAACATGAGTTTCTATGGTCATTAAACACA